TCCTGGAGATTTTTTATGGGAGCCTCTCCCTCTTTGCTTGCGGTAAATCTTTTCAAAAACGTGGTTTTAAATTCTGGCTAGCTCTTAATGCTTCCAGGAGATAACCTACAATACCAAATTTTCGCTGCCCCCACTCAGGGTCAGGTGGAAAGTTCTGGATTTCACCGGGGGTGATGCCTCTCAAGCTCATGTGAGTTTTATAACTGTTCAAGTGCTTAGTCGAGTCACATCTCCCATTGTACTTTGGTATTTTTGGCATAACATAATGGCTTGACACATGGGCATTACTCAATTCTTTTGAAAAGGGCAAATTTTTATCATCATCATCAAGATTACAATATCGCTAGGGTTCATCGGAATCATCATCCTCGTTAGCCTTATATCTAGGCGGTGGATGAGATGGGCTAGCTTGGATCCTTGCAGCTTCGTTTCTCATTTGACGCCTATTTTTAGGCGGGTCAACATGGGGAGCATGTTCTTTTACCTTTGGTTGCCAAGTCATAGGAGGTGGGGTTGTGGCCTATTCCTAGGCATAAAGAGTTGTTGAGGTTGCTTGTGTCTCGGCTCAGCAGGGCTAATTTTGTCAAACATGCTGATGGACTTTTGAGGTCTGCATTCTGACTCATATTTAGGAGGAATTTGTCTTCTATGTCAAATGGGACCTCAGTGGATCGACCGAATGCATAGTTAGAGGAAATATCAACTCCCACTTCTCTTTCAAGGGGACTACCTCCTCTGACATGCCTAGAGGATAAGGCTCTTTGACTCTACACCTTATCCTCATGTAGATATTGCTCTTGAGGCATGAAAGAAAGAATTGGATGACCTCTCTGGCCTTGCATTTGCATCAAGAGTCCTTGCATATCCATATTTTGAATGGTAATATTTTCTCATATTAGATGTGATGGTAGACATCTCCCTAGTGAGTTGGGCAGCAATCCTCATCCCATCGCGTCTATGATGGTGGTGAAGTCAGTGGTGAATCATTGGGATCGCTGCTGCAGCTGCTTCTTGTAGAACTCCATCATTATTTTTTCTTACCCTCCTGGGAGAAACGTGATTAGAACTTATTTTTCTTAAACTTTCCAAAATTTTCCAACTTTGGGGACATCTGCTTATTCTTTTTCAAGAGCAAATCATTTTTTAAGGGGGGATGCCCAACTATTTTTTCAACAAGCTTTTTCACGAGGTTGCTCGTGGTTTAGTGTGGCTTATTACAGATGGTGCCAATCTATTGACCTCGTTTTCGATTAGGGTAACTTGGATAATAGATGTCAGGCCCACTCATGTACATGTAAGCAAATTTTGACACATATGGACAAGTTGTTAGTCGACAATACTCCGAATTTGGACGTGGGGAAAGTTTTATAACACGAGATAAATATGTTCAAGCTCCGGTAATATAGTTCGAGAACGATCATACGATAATAACCATTCATTAACAACTCGAATAAAACTAAATAATCCTAACTCAAGCAAACAAGTGAGAAGACAAGGAGTAGCTTTTCGTGTCTTTTTTGCATTCTCCTCTAAATAATACATGGGGGTATTTATGGTGTTACAAACGAAATAGTGTCCATTGGATGGAAATTCACGTGGTCTCATCTCTTTGACTGAAGTATACAATCTTAGACATCAATTTAAACTTCCTAACCTGTGGCGCATTCACAGCCTGTTTGGGAGTGATTTTTCCTCCAAAATTGATTTTTTGATCGTTATTTCACTATTTCAGCCGTTATATTTGACCTTTTCTCTCACAGGTAGACCCCACTTTTCTCTTAACGGTCAAAAAATCAATTCTGAAAATCATTCCCAAACGGGCTCTTAATGCTCTAACAAAGAACAACCGCCTTATTGCCTAAACTAATGAGACTTGACATTCTACTCATTACAAAGGTTCCATCAATCATTCCAAAAGAATTTTATACATAAATTTAGAATCCTTATGTGTGGGTCGTCGCTTGTTGTAGATGGGTTTCGACTTTAACTTGTGTTGAGCTTCAAAGCTTCATCTTTGACATAAAATTGCTTTGGTGGATATGGTTTTTCGATTGGAGTGCGTCGACTGGTTCAATAATTGACCAATGGGCATCGGTGGGCTTGCCATGTTGAGCCACATGCAACAAGGCATTACAAATAATTCCACTCTCTTTTAGTTGGTAGGGATGCTGATATGGACACTTTAATAAATATTGGATTTCTTGAAAGTCTTATTTCGTAATCAATTCACAGAGATATTATGATACCTTTATATGTAAAGATAAAATCATTTGTTTATTGTACATATACAATTACATATGAAGGTAAAAGGAAAATAATGTTGAACACGGAAAATAGAGATTCTTACGAAGTTGGTTTGGTTCAACGGTAAGTCAAAATGAATCTGTAAACATACTAACCTGGTGAGACAAATACTCACCAATGTAGACTTCATCGAGTACGTTTATTCAAGTTCACTGCTTCGACATAATAATCATTTAAATAAATTAAGCATGCCAATTTAATCAAATAATAAATATGTAGTATGTCTCTCACATGTTTATCCTAACACAAAGTAATTAGAAAAAAGGTTGCAGTGTCGATACTTGATAGTTCAGTTACTGACAGTTGATGCGCAAATTTAAGACGAAGAAAAGTTTGCGTGTCAAGCTTTGAGGTAGTTGTTTTGACATTTTTCTCAACTTAATAACGTAATTTTTATTCATACTTGTAAAGTTGTATCCTTTAGGATATTGATGTCATTTTGAAATAATCACAGCGTACTTCACAATACTTTAATTGATTGAAAATTTTCCATCAAGATGCAAGATATAATTGATCACATAGAGTTACTCCAAAACGACACCATAAGGTTTTCCAAATTAGCATTATTTTTTGTGACCTAAATTCACACGTATCTCGAGCTTGCAATTATGATTTTAAGATATTGTTTTGAAGAGTTTGTAACGCCTTCTTCAAAACGGTACATTACATAGTAGAAAAGGCAATTTAAATATAATTATCCAAGGTTGGCTTATTAAGGCCATTTTGTTATCGTTCTCTTCTTCTTCTTCTTCTTAACTTCTAAGATATAAAAGAAAATAGCACAATTTTTTTGGGGACATCAGATGACATGTCTTTAAAATTTTCTTGTGATGAATTGAAAAGCACGACATTGTTAAAAATGCAAATAACTATTTATAAGTTGATACACCTCGATCTACATGACTAAGATGAGTGGGGAAGATTAGCTATAATTATTAAACTACGAAAATAATTATCATCACTAAGTCCATGTTTGAGCTCCATTCTTGTAAAAAAAATACATTTTTGAATGGTGTAATGATGAGAAATGAGTGGTTAAAAAAAGTTATGAATTTACATGTAATATTATTTTATTGAAAAATATATAAATAAAGTCAAATAAGGGTAATTGGCACAAAATATCCCTACCTTTCGAGTGTATTGTGGAAAACGTCATTACCTTTAATTTTTTGGCATTTTTGTCCCTATTTTCACATTTCTTTGCGTCGAAGGTCATTTTCATTGTTTTTGGGTGTAAAATGACCAATATGCCCTTCTCTTTAAAGAAAAGAAAAAAGAAAAGAAAAGAAAAGAAAAAATTGTAACTATAGGCGAAACTTCTAAAAAAGTGCAAATGCCCCCAAAACTTCACCTTCTTCCCACACCTCACCCCCACGCCACCTTACGGTCAGCTTGGCAACTGGACCAACATACCAACTTGAAACTCTCACTTCCCTCTTCACAACCCATCTAACCACTGGCCGAAAATCTAAAGGAATTGGCCGAAAAATTACGTCAAAATTGGCTGCTCACGCAACATGAAACGGCCAAAAATGGAGGTCGAAAACTCCATTTTCGACGACACACATGGCACACCCATCCTCCAGGTTGATTATGCTCCTCATTGCACTCCTATAGATGTCTTCATATCATCAAACAAAGCTGAAAATCAAAATTTACGACCAGAAAATCAAAATTTACGACCAACCGGTAGTTCTTGAGTTCAATCTTGAAAATTGATTGTTTGGTTGATGAATTGATGCAATTGATGGAGGACCCATAGTTGTGACAACATTAGTTGACGATTACATGCTAGAATTGGTGGATTGAAGCCTTGTAGCATCATCAATTGAAAGGGGATCAGTCGAGTTTCTTTGTGTACGAACTGTCGAGGCTGTTTCTACAATTTTTGGCCAAAATTGACGATGAACCATAGGTTCATTAGGTTCGCCTTGAAGAGGCAGTGCTAGAAGGGGTGGTCTGCGATCGTCGATCGTGACACCGACGACAAAAAATGTGTTTGAAGTTGCCGATTTCGTTGTTGAAGAAATCGGCTGGTTTTACAACTTCTGATTAAATTTGACGATGACCCATAGGTTCATTAGGTTCTCCTTGAAGAGGCGGTGCTAGGAGGGGTGGTCCGCCGTCGTCGATCATGATGTCAACGCCAAAAAATAGAGTTGAATTTGTCAACTTTGCTGTTGAAGTTGCTTGGGCAGCCTATTTTGGCCCGATTTTTCGGCCAATTTCTTTAGATTTCCAGCCAGTGATTGGGTGAGTTGTAAAGAAGGAAGTGAGGGCTTCAAGTTGTATGTTGGTCCGATTGCCAAGCTGATTGGAAGGTGATTGAAAATGGCTGGCAAGTGGCGATGGCGTAGGGGTAAGGTGTGGGAAGAAGGTGAAGTTTTGGGAGGGGGGCATTTGCACTTTTTTAGAAGTTTCGTCTATAGTTATAATTTTTTTCTTTTTTATTTTATTTAAAGAAGAGGACATATTGGTCATTTTACACCCAAAAACAGTGAAAATGACCTTCGACGCAAAGAAAGTTGGAGATAGTGGCAAAAGTGTCAAAAAATAAAAGATATAGACGTTTTATGTCAATTACACGTCAAATAATTTAAATCACTGTTGAATAATATATTTTCATGAAAAAAAGAGCTGAAACCGGACTAAATTTTCAATGTTCACATCCTCTTGGCTTTTGCTTTTCTCAGGTTATGCTTTTTGCCGAGCCTAACCATTGTTTGTACTTTATACCTATTCGCCTTTGCAAGACCTCAACATTGCGTCTCTCTTCTATAGATACCATCGACTTCATTTTAACACAAAATCCGTGTCTATTGATCAAACGTTTTTCTGCTTAATATCTAATTTACATACCTAAATCATGACCCCTGGTTCAGGAGGATCCAGTGTCGTGGGTCCGTACTCTTCGCTCTCAATAAAGAAATTGTATTTCATTTTTTGAATCCTTTTCCTTCATTTTTCATGTATTTTTACTGTTAATTCTGTCTATCGGTCGTTTTGTTTTGTGGGTTTTAGTTCTTGTTTTGTTTGAGGGAATGATGATTATTATGCATTGACTGTGGATCTTTATTAAGAAGAAATTTTGTACATTTTAATATGATTTTAATTTGGGTTCTTGCTGAAGAATCTGTACGCATTTTATGTGTTGAATTTTAGAGGAATTTCGATTGAAAGAAATTTCCTTGTTAGTTTAGTCTCTTTTAAGTTTTTGATGTGTTCACGTAGCGTCACTATTAATTAATCACAATTTGATCTTTTGAAACTTTTTGTAATTATCAAGTTATAGTTTAAGATAAATAATTTCATTGTTAACTTGGATTAGAAGAATGGAGGAGAGATTTTTGTGTGCTTCTTTGACTCTCATACTCCTGTTATTTAGGATTTTGGGTGCATAATATTTGATTCAATTTCAAAATGATCTGAGAAATTTAGCTTGGTGAATTTTGATTTAAGGAGGTGAAGTTGTAAGTGTATAGAGGACGCCTTGATATTTCGTTTTTATATCTTCTCTCTGCCCCAGGCATTATATCTATGCTCCTGTCTTCTTGATATATTGGACCAGACTTGAATATCGACTATCACATGTATATGTAGACTATAGAGAATGTACTTAGTACTGTAATTGCCCAAATTTTTTAGTAATAGATAATTTATTTTTTGTTTTCATGCATCTTTTGAGCTCTGTTCCCTTGGACCGGAAAATCTATCACACTATGATCCGAGACATCTGAATGACAGATGAACTATAGAGTGGACTTTTAACATTTTGTGGGAGATTAAAGCTTGATATCTATAAAAGATATAAATCTTGAGTATTCTCAAGCTTTTTGGCGTATCCTTGCAGTCCCTCGGAATTTCCGATTGCTGGAGGAACTTGAACATGGAGAAAAGGGGATTGGAGATGGTACAGTAAGTTATGGAATGGATGATGGAGATGACCTTTACATGCGAGCCTGGACTGGCACCATAATAGGTCCTCATAACGTGAGCATTTTCTTCTATTCGGTTTTTCTTGTTTGAGTTCAGTGCTAACTCCTTTGAAGCATCAATAGTATGGGTGAATCAGTGGTGCAAACTCTAAACTATTTGGTGCTTCTAATTTGTATTTCATTTGAACTAGTATCCCTCTCTTGTTATTTCCTACTGAAGCTTTTGGCGTGGGAATGAAAGATGAAATTCATGACAAGTATTTTATAACCACATAAATTTATTTTTCCACACTTTGGTTCCTGTACTCTCTAAGCCACATTACCATTTTTTGCTTTTATTATGTGGTCAGATGTTGCTCAAGTAATATTTCTTTTGGTGAATAACAAATAGGGCTATGAACATGGCAAGTTTCTTCACTTGAAGAAATTTTTATTATGAACAGTTCTATTTATTTGACAGTACAAAATGACATTGCTAGGAAACAATATTTAACTCTGCTGGGCAAATATTATTATGATTGTTTGTGTCACTGCAGATTCTACTGAATTTGATTGATTTTATCAGACAATGGCAATAGTTTTCGCCAAGCTGAATCATCTGTCAGATAGATGCATGCTCTTTTGTACTGCTAATCCTAATGCTGTTGTAGGAGTCTTGCACGTTTCTGGATCATGCTGTTGTTTAAAATTTTGTTGGGTTCTGATGGCATGACATTATCTCCCATATGAAGTTTAAATACTCATATGGCCCTTCTACTCTGTTCATGAAATGGTGGAATGTAGTTTTGGTGCATAATAAAATTCTTATTAATACTTGTATGGTATTGCATTAGTTAATCCCTATTTGGGCTCCATTTTTCCAAAACTCATTTTCAGCCACACATTCTCCCATAAAATAATGTACTTAAACCCAAAATTTTTCTTTATTTTTTAACCATGCATTCTCCAAAATAATACTATTCCAAAACTCATTTTCCCTCAAAAGATCATTTTAATGGAGCCCAAACAGGGGTTTGGTAATGAACTGCAGGTACCATTTTGTTATTCTTTTACAATTTTGTTGATTCATCTTTCACAATAATTCTTCCGTGATGAAATGGCTTAACTATTATTATTCCTTTCAGTCTGTACATGAAGGAAGAATATATCAATTGAAGTTATTCTGTGACAAAGATTATCCAGAGAAGCCACCAAGTGTTCGTTTCCATTCTCGGATTAACATGACTTGCGTCAACCATGAAACTGGAGTGGTATGAAACAATTATCCTGTATAAGTTGGACATATAATATCTTGTCTATAAGTTGTTATTACTTATTATTGCATTCCTGTATGTGGTAAAATAGAACAATGTGTTGCGCATGGCGGCAAAGTTAAATATCTCAGAGTTTACACACTATTGTTTGATTTAGTATTGAAGTATAGTGTGGCAGGTTCTCTATCTGGTTATTTTCCCTTTCCTTTCGTCAAAAGATTGTGGCCTGTGGACATTGGTCTCCTTTGACGTCAAGAAAGACTGTTATTTTGTTATAAAAATCCATTCTTAAAAAAAAAAAAAATAATAAATAAATAATAAAAAATAAAAACGACTCTGTTGTTCTGAAAATATGCTAAAATTTCTTGATTTTTCTGGAATCTTTTGATCTTTGTGGTGCTTATAGAGTTAAATTTGGGAAATCAATGTTTATAACTGAGTGTTTTGATACGAATGATGTCTTGGTGATGGAATTTTATTCGATATTCGAAACATAACTTGTATTGAGCTCTGTATAATTCGTATTCAGACCTTTAACGTTCTCTTATTAATTGTGAATTATTTAGTATCTAGCAATTAAAATAATTATAAAAGGAGAAAACATAACTTTGGTTAAATGTCCTCTTTATGCAAGCAAAGTATGATGTTTCATAGATTCCATTGAGCATCAAACTAACATTTTCTATGATATGAATATACATATAGTCGACTCTTATAATCAGTAACTTTAATTATTATAGTTATTAATTATAATGTTTTTGATATAGTTGAATTAAAAACTATTTCTTAAGCTCATTTAGGTCATATTTATATTACCTACTATAATAAAATTCAAAAGCCATGATTCCTCAAATTTATACTATAATAAAATTCAAAAGCCATGATTCCTCAAATTTATACTTCTAGTCCATGCAAGACAAATGCTTCACTTGTTCATTCACGTGTCTTCTTTTCATCTTTGTTGTCAATCAACTAACATATAGATAATCATAAATGCAACTAAGCTCTAATCACTGCGAAACCAATGAAAATTGCGATTTATGCGTGAATAAACTCTTAGAGCCTGTTTGAGTCCCTTTTTCTTTTCTTTTTTTCCTCCAAAAATACATTTAGAAATAGCGATTGGATAAAAAATGTATGATTAAAAAATGAAAAAAGTTTTGGCTTTGTATGTAATATTATCTTATTGAAGAATGCATGGTTAAAAATAAGAGTGAAAAAAATGTATTTTGAAAATAATGGGGACCAAACAAGGGTTTAATATGGTTGACGCAAAGAATTGTGTAAAATTATAATTTTGATTGATTACCAGAAATTCTTGAAGATTATTAAGTTGTAGGATAATAAATAGGAGTAGGCGACTGTTTATTGTAGCATGGGAATGAACTGTTCTACTAAATATAGCCTTTGGTGGGGATTAAAATAAGATTATTGGTAGATTTTGATAGAAGTTAATGAAATGTGGTTGAAAAGTTGTGGGAACCATAAAATATATTACTGAAATGAATTGTTGACTTTGATTTAGATTTTAACAAGGCATAGTATTTGTTTTCCCTTGGGATGTACTTTGTTTTTACACTCCTAGACTTAAGTTTTCTCTTTCACCGAACTTGACCTACGCACAAAGTGTTTTGATGAGGATGGCATCTCTTGTGATGATAACCTCATTGAAGGCTCAAATAAATGTAGGATAAAACCTCTAATCATGTTAAGTTGTGTGCCTATTATGGTGAGTTTCCATCATGGGGCTTACAAATTTAGAGTTTTTTTAGTGCCTTGTTCTGAGGAGGCATATAGAAAATGAAATGACGTCTCTAATTTTAATTGGTATAGGTAGAATCAAAGAAGTTTCCACTTCTAGCAAATTGGCAGCGAGAGTACACAATGGAAAACATACTGACACAGCTGAAGAAAGAGATGGTGGCTCCACACAACCGTAAGCTGGTTCAGCCTCCCGAAGGAACCTATTTCTAGTATAAAGATATATACAGGTCTTGTTGACTAATTTATGCTGAAAAGTAATGGTGAAACTAGAAAGTCCCCCAAAAGCTCCTATCCACTCAGTTGCCTCATAAATATCCTTTTTCTGATCTACTTCCTTGTGAACAATGTTTTTGGGTTTTTTTTTTTTAAATGGTTATGTTGTGTGAGCAAAACTGCAAATATGAATATATTTCTTAAGTTCTTGCAGTTTCTGAATCTTGTCTTGCGTTGTGAGTTTCTATGTTTCTTTAGTGTTCCTTTGCCATGAAAGTTAGTTCAGGATTATACTTGGCGTTGAATGGAAAATTACTCGATTCAGAGCATGGTGTTTTACTGTGAAGTTGATAAGATGTACTTTGTTTTTTATTTTTTTTAACTTTTCCATGTGTGGTGTCCTTTCTCCATAGCGTTTCTGAAATTGCTGCTAGTTCTATTGTTACTGTTATCTTGTGTGGCCTCTGGGGAATTGCCCGAAAAGCAAGTTGTGAAATCACTGTTTTGTTGATGAATTTATAGGGTTTTGTTTAGATCGAATTAGTTGACATATCTATCTGCTCATCTTTTAATTTAATAGCATTTCATCCTTTTTATTTTAATGAGATATTGATGGGCTAGTAAACTTTTTATCCATAAGAGTTGAGGTCTGTGATCTGATTTCTTATCCCATTTGCATATATGTAGCGGCTATGTAATTCTGTACCTCAGAATACAGCAGAAAATATTTCTAAAATCTTCATCTCTTATGCCTTCTCTTTTCTCTATATGCGGCTTCTTTCTTCTTAGAGATATCATATTTTTTCATGTTATTTGTAAATCCCTGCTTTTCTATGCCTGGATTATGATATGTTTTGCATGTCACCTATTTACATTATAATAATGCTATTCATGGTCAGCGACTACAGTGATCATTATATATGACTATTTGTTATTTGAGACATGAATTTCTTGTAAATTTGTGAATAACAAGCTGCTACATAAGGATGATTACTGTAATCGCTTACTATGAATATCGTTACTCTTTATGTTATATTAAGTGCAAATAATGTGAAATAGGACAATTACTTGCTAAGGAAATTCTTTGGATATTTTGCAAATTCTAAGAAATTTAGGGACTAAATTGAAAATCCTAGCTAAGCTTTACAAAAATATTGCAATTTTTGACAACTTTTAAGTAGCACGTTTTATTTTTCAAAGGCAAAATACTAATTTTGTGCTATACGAATTTTTTAGTGTTTCAGATATTATTTTGGTTGTATTTTATTGCCTCTTTGTAGTAGTTGGAGCGTATTGGTTCAATAGAATCCAGTTCAGGTTTAGCTGTAAAAACTAGAATTTTGAGCTAGCCCACCCTCTATAATTTCCCTAGACTCTGAATTTTAGCTCTGTTGATTTGGCAAAGTAGTTAAAATTTGAATTTATACGATAAATTTTTTCCAATGATAGTTGGTGACCACCGATCTCTGATATCATTTAAATTGTACATCACACGTATCTCATCAACTTGCGAGATCAGCTAGATTTCATGATTGTCGTAATTTCAACAGATATTATGATGACAAATTTCTTACACCTTGTCAAATCACCCCAATCGATCAGGCACACTTGGAAGGGATGACGTCAACATTGTCTAAACCTACCAATTAACCACCATAAATGTTTATACCAAGACATGTCATGATTTCCCAACAAGAGGGGATATTATTGAGATTTGACTGAAACCGGCCTCATAAATCAATCGAAGAATAGATCAGCAGCACACAAATTTAGCTCGGTACTATGGTTAACACGATTGACAAGACATGATTTGAGAAAAAAAAACCTGAATCCCCCCTATAAAAGGCTGAACGGCCCTTGCTGGCTAGAAGAAAATATAACCACTTAGAAAAACAAGAAAATATAACCACTACTATCAATAGAAAACACATTTTTTACCCAAAAAGTTGGCCAAAAATTACACATAGCAATTTTTGACGCAACGGTAGTAATTCAAATTTTTAACATAGAAAATCATATTTTATATTGGGGTATTTTTAAAAATTTCACTAATTTAAGAATGCGTTTGATTATCAATATTTTTTTTATAAAAAAATGTCATTTTTTCACTCAAATTTATACTTTTGTGTTGTTCGATTGATTTTTTTTTTATGGAAAATTTTTTTTCTACTTTTGATCACGTGATCATATTTTCCTTAAAAAAATGATTTTCTTAAAAGTGCTTTTGATTGCGAGTATGAAATTTACTTGAAAAGAAAATAAATTCTAAGCAATTGAATTTGCATGAAAATTGTCAATTAAATATTTTTGATTGATTTTATTTTCAATTTAAAAAATATTGTTCTTGTCATTTTTTATTGGTAGGTAGATGAGAGATATGGGGTAAATTAGAGAGAAAGAGAGTGAATTATCTAGAAAATAAAAACCTACTTACCCAAGTGCATTTGATTACCAATATAATTTTCATGAAAAATGTCGTTCTTTCACCCAAATTTCTATTTTTATACTGTTTGATTCATATTTTTTTACATAAAAAATATTTTCCTACTTTTGAACATGTGATCATGTTTTTCTTGAAAATAGGGAAAATCTTTTCTAAAGGGGGAGCAAATTTTTATTTATCAGGTGATTCTTTCTCTCTCATTTTTCCCATCTTTCTAATTTATCCACAAATAAAAAATGAACAAGTATAGCATTTTTTAGATTGAAAATAAAATCAATTAAACATATTTAATTGTTAATTTTCATGCAAATAAATTATAGACAATCAAACACGCCCTAAGTTATTGACCTGTTAAGATTTCGCTATTATCACTTTACTTAAATCCTGATATCTTATATGGGACGTATTTTATGGGTAATGATATAATTACCATGGTTAATTATATATACGAAGGGATCAATTAAGGGCGAATTCAGGAGTCGAGTTCAACTAGGGTGGACCGCGAGTGTTGAAAATTTACTATCAACCGCCAACGTCCGTGATAGTTGGGTTGTTTATTAATATTTAATTAAATAATATTCAAAAAATTGTAAGGATTAAAACAAGAAGAACTAGATATATCACTAGAACTAGAATTAGATACGAACTTTCATTTTGGGTGAAAAAATCCTTTCATGATCTGCAAAATGCCCAAATTTATTTTTCAATTAAATGGACAATATATATTAACAAAATGTAAATATTTAGTTTACAATTAAAGTTAATTAAGCAATCATTATTTTAATAATAAAATAAATTATTTATGTAATTATATCGATTTTATATGCTTGTATGATTCCACTTTTTCGCAATCGATTTTTTGTTAACGAAAAATGGAACCTTTTATTAATTAAATAATTTTTGTTGAAAGATTCCTTATGGCACTAAAGCCAATTTTTCTACAAATTCATCCACAATTGATTGACTAGACTCTCAAATCAATTGATTAGAAAGAAAAGAAAAGAAAAATAAAATAAAGAAGAGGGATAAAACATCGTTAAAATGTTTCTAGTTACATTAAACCAGTAAATTGAACATTTATTATTTTGTTACATTATGTGCTAAAAATCAACAAGTGTCTTGATGGTAAAGTGGTCAATATGTTTAAGAAGGATGGTAGATTCGAATCACATTCCTTACATTTGTTTTGGTAAAAATTGTTGAAATATGAAAATTATAAAAGTATTGCTCTCGAAGAGTTTTGAACACAGAATCTCCAATTCAATAATAAAAAGACTAACCAGCTGAACTACCAAATATGATTGTTATTAATGTGAATTATCAAATATATAATCTAAAAATTCTATCTATTATCAGTAAAAAAAAATTCTCTCCGACGAATCCAGCTAGAGCGGCCACCCTAGTTGGCTGTGGTCTAAATCCGCCACTGGGAACAATGATGACATTTGAACCTTAAAACTTAAGGCTTGTGGATGTCCAATGTCAATGGGTCGTGGGACGGTTTTTGGGCAGGATTTGCTCACTCGCTTCGATTGTTAATTATTATTAAAAAAAAAATCTAATTTTGTTTAAAATCACTTCAGTCTTAACCTTTACGCTTAAATCTAAATTGATTAATCAAACTTGTTAAACAAATTCATAATTACTCTACAATTTACACGAGGAAAAAAAATCGTTTGTCCAGTAGCCAACCCTAGGAAAATGATCGACTAAGCATTAACAATGATATAATACATCAATTAATTAATGAATAAGTTCGTAGTAGACTTCGCGAATTGAATTATTCATCAATTAATTAATGTACCATATCACTTTGCTTAGTATAGGTTAAGTTATCATACTTAGCAAGTAAGCAACGATGATATTATTAAGGGATAAAATCCTATATTGAATAAAGATAAAAATATTGATTAATTTATAAAGGATTGGGCTACCTCTCTTAATAAGATTGACATTTTAAAATGAAACCTTAAGTTTTAATATGATATTAGAGCTCATTATGCTCAAATGAACAATTCGATCTGATTAAGATCTTAAAAAAAAAAAAAAAAGAAAAAAGAAAAGAGCACACCGGATTTCTAAATTGTTTTGCTCAAACGAAAGGAATAAAATTTTAAATTAAATAACTATGAAAAAATATATTAATTTATAAGAGTTTGAACTACTCCTTTTAATAAATTTCACTTTTAAAGATGGAACTTCAAAATAACTTATCGTTATAGATATTTGTTATTGGTCAATAATATTTGATTTGAAGCAGCTCTAAAATTTAACTGAGTTTCACAATGAGAAATTAGCTTTATGTATAAACATTTCTTATTTAGTTCCGCTTGAATGTGATGAAATGTATATAAGGTTGACAACTTGGTTGATATATTTTCAAGATCAACACACCTATTTACCAAAGACTAACTTGCTACTTCAATAGATTGGAGACCAAGGGTCCAATTTTCATTAAATCAATAAATGGGAAGATTACAATAAATCTTATATTTCAAGTTTCAAATTCAAAAATCAGATAAAATTATTGTTTTTTAAATAATCAAATACTAAATGTCATTTAATTTTATCTGTATCACTCTCTATATTCATTTCCTATAGTCATTATCTCTCTGCAACTACCGTCTATCTAGTATTTGTATTTACTCTCCCTATCAACAACAATCGACATCCATCTCTCTCTGTGACAATCAACCTTCATCTTCTCTCGTCTGGGTATTGTGATGCAGAGGATGCTAATGGTAATGGTAGTGGTAGGTTTGGAGATGGAGGAGGAGGTAG